CAGTTTGAGAGACAGATGATACAATTACTGTCATATTTTGAAAGACGGTGTTAAATGGCTGTGCTCTTAGTTCCCACTGAATCTGGTAGTTAGACTAACGCTTAGTCTCTGATAATATATCATTTTGATAGTAACAAACCCATTTAAATTTAAAGGGAGCTCCAGGGAGACCAGAGATTCAAATCAAGTCAAGTCAAGTTGTTTATTTGTATGAAGGCCCTTGGCCCATATACAGTACACATAGTATAATATGTTTCCATCGAACATGAATTACATATCTAATCTACATGGTTGCTTTATACATGCTACAGGTTTCAACATATTGTTCTCTGAAGATTAAGCTTTGACGAACATATCTACATAAATATTTAATACATCACCACTCTTTGAATTCATTAGCTGTCTAAATTTGTAAATATTTACATTGTGGTGATACATACATGGTAGATCAAGCTGTCTTAAATTCCTATAGTATTTACATACAAGGATAAAATGATACTCATCTTCAATTCCAGTGTTACACAATTAACATAATCGCTGACTTAATTCAATTCCTAACCACCTCCCCTCGTTAACTTTTAATTTCAAAATTCCACACCTAAGTCTTATCATTATATTTCGTTGTTTTTTAATTTTTTTAATAGAGTGAGATAGTTTTCTGATTCTAGTAGGCTTTTATATTGTCTATATACACTATATCGAGAACCTTCTTGAATAATACCATTCCATGACTGTGAATACATATTAACTGCAACATTCTTAAACATTTGAAGAAAAACTGAAACATCACCAACACCCTGAGACAACCAAACATCACCAACACCCTGAGACAACCAAACATACACAACACCCTGAGACAACCAAACATCACCAACACCCTGAGACAACCAAACATCACCAACACCCTGAGACAACCAAACATCACCAACACCCTGAGACAACCAAACATCACCAACACCCTGAGACAACCAAACATCACCAACACCCTGAGACAACCAAACATCACCAACACCCTGAGACAACCAAACATCACCAACACCCTGAGACAACCAAACATCACCAACACCCTGAGACAACCAAACATCACAACACCCTGAGACAACCAAACATCACCAACACCCTGAGACAACCAAACATCACCAACACCCTGAGACAACCAAACATCACCAACACCCTGAGACAACCAAACATCACCAACACCCTGAGACAACCAAACATACACCAACACCCTGAGACAACCAAACATCACCAACACCCTGAGACAACCAAACATCACCAACACCTAGAGACAACCAAACATACCCAACACCCTGAGACAACCAAACATCACCAACACCCTGGAGACAACCAAACATCACCAACACCCTGAGACAACCAAACATCACCAACACCCTGAGACAACCAAACATCACCAACACCCTGAGACAACCAAACATCACCAACACCCTGAGACAACCAAACATCACCAACACCCTGAGACAACCAAACATCACCAACACCCTGAGAGACAAACATCACCAAACATCAAACATCCCAACACCCTGGACAACCAAACAACCAAACCCGGAGACAACCAAACAACACCCTGAGAGACAACCAAACATCACCAACACCCTGACAACCAAACATCACCAACACCTGAGACAACCAAACATCACCAACACCCTGAGACAACCAAACATCACCAACACCCTGAGACAACCAAACATCACCCAACACCCTGAGACAACCAAACATCACCAACACCCTGAGACAACCAAACATCACCAACACCCTGAGACAACCAAACATCACCAACACCCTGAGACAACCAAACATCACCAACACCCTGAGACAACCAAACATACCCAACACCCTGAGACAACCAAACATCACCAACACCCTGAGACAACCAAACATCACCAACACCCTGAGACAACCAAACATCACCAACACCCTGAGACAACCAAACATACCCAACACCCTGAGACAACCAAACATCACCAACACCCTGAGACAACCAAACATCACCAACACCCTGAGACAACCAAACATCACCAACACCCTGAGACAACCAAACATCACCAACACCCTGAGACAACCAAACATCACCAACACCCTGAGACAACCAAACATCACCAACACCCTGAGACAACCAAACATCACCAACACCCTGAGACAACCAAACATCACCAACACCCTGAGACAACCAAACATCACCAACACCCTGAGACAACCAAACATCACCAACACCCTGAGACAACCAAACATACCCAACACCCTGAGACAACCAAACATCACCAACACCCTGAGACAACCAAACATCACCAACACCCTGAGACAACCAAACATCACCAACACCCTGAGACAACCAAACATCACCAACACCCTGAGACAACCAAACATCACCAACACCCTGAGACAACCAAACATCACCAACACCCTGAGACAACCAAACATCACCCAACACCCTGAGACAACCAAACATACCCCAAACCATGTGAAAATAGAAGATTACAAGCATAAGAAATATAAGTTGTATATCCACAGTTATCATAAAATAGTAACCTGTCATAAGCTTCCTTTGTATTCTATAATGACACATAGACACAAGTTTAACCAGTATTTTACAAATCGACATAGTGCAATTATGTACAGTGAATATCGGCCACATTCACCGTATACAATTGCATTTGGTGTCTGTGAACCTCAAGAAATCTATACTTGCTTCATTTAGGGCTTTAGCATTGGAGGGAGGGCTTGGCAGTAGGGGAGATAATGTGGTTCAGGGACTGTGATACAGACTAGTAGTTCCCCAGCGGAGGCGCGCGTTGTAGGATGACCAGTTTAGTGAGGAAAGCCTCTTCCTTCATGTCCATTATCTGTATGCACATGGAATGTTACAAAGAATAACTAAGTCTAGTGAAATGTGACTGGAGTAACATGCAACATGGAGTGAGTGAGATGTGACTGGAGTAACACGCAGCATGTAGTGAGTGAAATGTGACTGGAGTAACATGCAGCATGGAGTGAGTGAAATGTGACTGGAGTAACATGCAGCATGGAGTGAGTGAAATGTGACTGGAGTAACATGCAGCATGGAGTGAGTGAAATGTGACTGGAGTAACATGCAGCATGGAGTGAGTGAAATGTGACTGGAGTAACATGCAGCATGCATGAGTGAGTAACATGCAGCATGGAGTGAAATGTGACTGGAGTAACATGCAGCATGGAGTGAGTGAAATGTGACTGGAGTAACATGCAACATGGAGTGAGTGAAATGTGACTGGAGTAACACGCAGCATGGAGTGAGTGAAATGTGACTGGAGTAACACGCAGCATGGAGTGAGTGAAATGTGACTGGAGTAACACGCAACATGGAGTGAGTGAAATGTGACTGACAGGAGTAAGTGAAATGTGACTGGAGTAACACGCAACATGGAGTGAGTGAAATGTGAGTTAAGTAACATGTAGTGAGTGAAATGTGACTGGAGTAACATGCAGCATGTAGTGAGTGAAATGTGACTGGAGTAACATGCAACATGGAGTGAGTGAAATGTGACTGGAGTAACATGCAGCATGTAGTGAGTGAAATGTGACTGGAGTAACACGCAGCATGGAGTGAGTGAAATGTGACTGGAGTAACATGCAGCATGTAGTGAGTGAAATGTGACTGGAGTAACACGCAACATGGAGTGAGTGAAATGTGACTGGAGTAACACGCAACATGGAGTGAGTGAAATGTGACTGGAGTAACATGCAACATGGAGTGAGTGAAATGTGACTGGAGTAACACGCAACATGGAGTGAGTGAAATGTGACTGGAGTAACATGCAGCATGGAGTGAGTGAAATGTGACTGGAGTAACACGCAACATGTAGTGAGTGAAATGTGACTGGAGTAACATGCAGCATGGAGTGAGTGAAATGTGACTGGAGTAACACGCAACATGTAGTGAGTGAAATGTGACTGGAGTAACATGCAGCATGTAGTGAGTGAAATGTGACTGGAGTAACACGCAACATGGAGCATGAGTGAGTGAAATGTGACTGGAGTAACATGCAGCATGGAGTGTAACACGCAGCATGGAGTGAGTGAAATGTGACTGGAGTAACACGCAACATGGAGTGAGTGAAATGTGTGACTGGAGTAACATGCAACATGGAGGTGAGTGAAATGTAACACGCAACATGGAGGAGTGAGTGAAATGTGACTGGAAATGTAACACAACATGGAGTGAGACTGAACATGGAGTGTGTGAAATGTGACAGTAACAACAGTGAAATGTGACTGGAGTAACATGCAGCATGTAGTGAGTGAAATGTGACTGGAGTAACATGCAACATGGAGTGAGTGAAATGTGACTGGAGTAACATGCAGCATGTAGTGAGTGAAATGTGACTGGAGTAACATGCAGCATGAAGTGAGTGAAATGTGACTGGAGTAACATGCAGCATGGAGTGAGTGAAATGTGACTGGAGTAAGATGCAGCATGTAGTGAGTGAAATGTGACTGCAGTAACATGCAACATGGAGTGAGTGAAATGTGACAGGAGTAACATGCAACATGGAGTGAGTGAAATGTGACTGGAGTAACACGCAGCATGGAGTGAGTGAAATGTGACTGGAGTAACACGCAGCATATATTCTCACACAACGTAAGTCCGATGTTTCTAACGTCTCGACGACGCTGGTTCTTCACAGTGGTAGTGTAGTAGTCATGGCAACAACATATGAACTGTTGATATAGATCAATAATGTCCATTGAATCCAGTGTGACTTATGCAGTGGGCAAATGGATACGACGAGAGGGCTTGTGTCATGCGGGATACTGTTGGCGCTCATTAAGCTATTAACACGGTAAGACCCAGAGGGTGTTCTTCCGCCCGTGTGGAGGGAACACACACCACCTGACTTATCAGTGTCACGTGACAATAGAGTGAGGGGACTGGGTCCAGTTATCAGCTGACATCCAGATGACATCATGTGACATTTCACGGGCAGTGCACTGAGGGTTCACTACTACATGTGGAGGAGGATGGGGGTGTCACTGTAGATGGGGGTGTCACTGTAGATGGTGGTGTCACTGTAGATGGTGGTGTCACTGTAGATGATGGTGTCACTGTAGATGGTGGTGTCACTGTAGATGGTGGTGTCACTGTAGATGATGGTGTCAAAGTAGATAGTGGTGTCCCTGTAGATGGTGGTGTCCCTGTAGATGGTGGTGTCACTGTAGATGATCGTGTCACTGTAGATGATCGTGTCACTGTAGATGATGGTGCCATTGTAGATGATGGTGTCCCTGTAGATGGTGGTGTCCCTGTAGATGATGGTGTCCCTGTAGATGGTGGTGTCACTGTAGATGATCGTGTCACTGTAGATGATGGTGCCATTGTAGATGATGGTGTCACTGCAGATGGTGGCGTCACTGTAGATGCGGTAGTCACTGTTGATGGTGGTGTCACTGTCACAAGCATTAGACACCAGGCATTGACAAGGATCAGACACCATTCCTTCACAAGGATCTGGCACCAGGTCTTGACAAGCATCTGACACCGTTCCCTGTCAAGGATCAGGCACCAGGCCTTGCCAAGGAGCAGGCACCAGGCATTGACATGGATCTGGCACCAGGCCTTGACAAGGAGCAGGCACCAGGCATTGACAAGGATCAGGCACCAGGCATTGACAAGGATCAGGCACCAGGCCTTGACAAGCATCTGACACCATCAAGAGACACCAGGCTATGACACCAGATACCATTCCTTGACAAGCATCAGGCACGGGCCTTTGATATACATTGGCACCCTATCATCCACGGGACCTCCATTCAGTTGCTATGAATGGAGAACGATCGAATGGTCGTCGCCTCTTCGGATGCTGGTGACCAGGGATGATCGACCTTCTCATTGCTTGGTTACAGTCACCATACACAGCGAATATCACTACTGGAGGGACAGAGAGCACAAAAGATATCCCCCATGCATTAAAAAATGCAAAATCTCAATATCGATCTCAGACGTCGTTTAAAACTTTCTCTAGAAGCTGAATCAAATCTTTTGATCTGAATATAATGTTAACTTGACGAAACTGCGCCTTCATGCAGGATTTAATGTACAAATGGGTTCCACTTATAATGCACGTGCGATTTCTAAAACGAACTCCAACCAAAGGCGGATCATCACGCTGCGGCGAGGCGATGCGCGTTATGGCCAGGGTTTCCTTACGGAAATACATTGAAGGAGGTGATTTATAGCTGTGAGTTTCATTCAGAGCACGATGCCCTCTTGCCCTAGCAAGACCTCAATATATTAACGCCTTGAAGCCACCTGGTCGAACGGAAGTCAGGCACGCATGATGTATGCGCACGCACATCGCTGCAGGAGTAAGCATAATTGGCAGCGCACGTGGTCCAACTGCGGCGAGTGGTTATTAGTGCTCTATTATCAAGTCAAAGTTAGAGACAAATGTTTGTCGTTAACGAGCGCTGTGTTTACTCTGATAGATATATTTGTTGTGCGCCTACACCTGTGTAAATAGGACCCACTATAGCAGAATAATTTGGGTGTTTTTCCTCTGGGTGTTCAAAGCCAAAGCTTACAAACTTATTGTTTCGCAAGGGTCCAGTTTGAGAGCAGCAGAACAAGAAATGGCCAAGAATGCCCTTCTCCTTCGCATGTGGTGTTGCATGTACCAGCACCGACGTACACAAACATTACTGTGGCGACACTCAGGCGGCTAAGCGACTGTTTGATTACGTAATTGACAAATTCCATGGCAACAGGGTTGACTTCATTTGAGAAAATAACCCTCAATTTGTTTAATCGTTGATTGAAAGGTCAATGGTTTAAAATGTCAAATCAGGGTAAAGGTTTGTAACTCCACTTGTGTGCAAGCATTCGAGTAGACGTGGTCGCGAGTATTAGGTGTTAGTTAGAATAGAGTTCCACTCAACTGGGCGCAAGGGGGCGTGGAGCATTTTAGTGTTTTAGTCGAATGGAACTTTGAGGGTTACACTTGTGATGGATTAAACGCGGGTCTTCTTGATAACATTTTGTCGGCCATGGAGACGAAGAAAACACAACTATCTATCAACCCTCTTGATTTACGTTTACGTGCAATCTAACTGTAGTAACGTGAGGCAATGCAATCTCGCCCCCGTCACTTGCGTCATGACAGTCAAAGCAATGCAATCTAGCCCCGTCACTTGCGTCATGACAGCCAAAGCAATGCAATCTCGTCCCCGTCTCTTGCGTCATGACAGCCAAAGCAATGCAATCTCGTCCCCGTCTCTTGCGTCATGACAGCCAAAGCAATGCAATCTCGCCCCCGTCACTTGCGTCATGACAGTCAAAGCAATGCAATCTAGCCCCGTCACTTGCGTCATGACAGCCAAAGCAATGCAATCTCGTCCCCGTCTCTTGCGTCATGACAGCCAAAGCAATGCAATCTCGTCCCCGTCTCTTGCGTCATGACAGCCAAAGCAATGCAATCTCGCCCCCGTCACTTGCATCATGACAGCCAAAGCAATGCAATCTCGTCTCCGTCTCTTGCGTCATGACAGCCAAAGCAAAGCAATCTCGTCCCCGTCACTTGCGTCATGACAGCCAAAGCAAAGCAATCTCGTCCCCGTCACTTGCGTCATGACAGCCAAAGCAAAGCAATCTAGCCCCCGTCATTTGCGTCATGATAGTAAAAGCAATGCAATCTCGCCCCCGTCAGTTGCGTCATGATAGTCAAAGCAATGCAATCTCGACCCGTCACTTGCGTCATGACAGTCAAAGCAATGCAATCTAGCCCCCGTCGTTTGCGTCATGACAGTCAAAGCAATGCAATCTAGCCCCCGTCACTTGCGTCATGACAGTTTTGCTTCTAACTACACATTTCCTGTGTCATTTCATCTGTCGGGAACTTGTCGGCTATGTGATGATCACCCAGACTGGCCTTCCATGGACATGTCTCTTGAAACAACGTCACTAAAAACACTATTTAAGATCCGAGTAAACCAGAAATATAAGAACCAGCATATTAGTAACCGACATGTGCCCCCTAAGGTAGATATTGATTTTAAGGAGCCAAGGCCACCCAACATGGACATGCAAGAGATAGGTTCGCGTTACGCCATTTTAGCTATGGCTCCTTACCAACATGAACATACAAGAGAAAGGTTCGCGTTACGCGATGTCAGCTATGGCTCCGTACCAACATGAACATACAAGAGAAAGGTTCGCGTTACGCTATGTCAGCTATGGCTCCTTACCAACATGAACATACAAGGAAAGGTTCGCGTTACGCTATGTCAGCTATGGCTCCTTACCAACATGAACATACAAGAAAGGTTCGCGTTACGCGATGTCAGCTATGGCTCCGGACCAACATGAACATACAAGAGAAGGTTTCGTACAAGCTATGTCAGCTATGGCTCCTTACCAACATGAACATACATAAGGAAAGGTTCGTTACCGGCGGCCTATGTCACCTATGGCTCCTTTACCAACATGAACATACCAACAGAACAGGAAAAGGCTGTTACGCTATGTCACCTATGGCTCCTTACCAACATGAACATACAAGAGAAAGGTTCGTTACGCTATGTCAGCTATGGCTCCTTACCAACATGAACATACAAGGAAAGGTTAGCCGTTACACTATGTCACCTATGGCTCTTACCAACATGAACATACAAGAAAGGTTCAGCGTGCGGCTATATGTCAGCTATGGCTCCTTACCAACATGAACATACAGAGGGAAAGGTTAGCGTTACGCTATGTCACCTATGGCTCCTTACCAACATGAACATACAAAGAGAAAGGTTAAATCGATACGCTATGTCAGCTATGGCTCCTTACCAACATGAACACCACAAGAGAAAGGTTCGCGTTACGCTATGTCAGCTATGGCTCCTTACCAAGATGAACATACAAGAGAAAGGTTAAGCGTTTATGTCAGCTATGGCTCCTTACCAACATGAACATACAAAGAGAAAGGTTCGCTCATACCAGACGCCTGATGTCTATACGGCTATGTCAGCTATGGCTCCTTACCAACATGAACATACAAGAGAAAGGTTCGCTTTACGCTATGTCAGCTATGGCTCCTTACCAACATGAACATACAAGAAAGGTTCGATTACGCTATGTCAGCTATGGCTCCTTACCAACATGAACATACAACAGAAAGGTTAAGCGGTTACGCTATGTCAGCTATGGCTCCTTGCAATACCAACATGAACAGCGTTACATAAGAGAAAGCACGTTAAGCAGCGTTACTATGTCAGCTATGGCTCCTTACCAACATGAACATACAAGAGAAAGGTTAAGCGTTGCGGCTATGTCAGCTATGGCTCCTTACCAACATGAACATACAGGGAAGGTTAAGCTTTACGCGATGTCAGCTATGGCTCCTTACCAACATGAACATACAAGAGAAAGGTTCGTGCACTTGCTATGTCGTATGGCTCCTTACCAACATGAACATACAAAGGGAAAGGTTAGAGCTTTTCACGCTTATGTCAGCTATGGCTCCTTACCAACATGAACATACAAAGAAAGGTTCGGCGTTACGCTATGTCAGCTATGGCTCCTTACCAACATGAACATACAAGGGAAAGGTTCGCGTTCTTACGCTATGTCAGCTATGGCTCCTTACCAACATGAACATACAAGAGAAAGGTTCGCTGCGTTCGCAGCTATGTCAGCTATGGCTCCTTACCAACATGAACATACAAAGGGAAAGGTTTAGCGCTACAGCGATGTCAGCTATGGCTCCTTACCAACATGAACATACAAGAGAAAGGTTAAGCTTTACGCGATGTCAGCTATGGCTCCTTACCAACATGAACATACAAAGGGAAAGGTTCGCGACGCGTTTTAAGCTATGTCAGCTATGGCTCCTACCAACATGAACATACAAGAGAAAGGTTCGCGTTACGCTTATGTCAGCTATGGCTCCTTACCAACATGAACATACAAGGGAAAGGTTCGCTTACCGCTATGTCAGCTATGGCTCCTTACCAACATGAACATACAAGAGAAAGGTTCGCGTTACGCTATGTCAGCTATGGCTCCTTACCAACATGAACATACAAGAGAAAGGTTCGCGTTACGCTATGTCAGCTATGGCTCCTTACCAACATGAACATATTAAGGGAGAAGGTTAAACTTTCGCTGGCGATGTCAGCTGTCAGCATACAAAGGAAAGGCTCGTTAAGCTATGTCAGCTATGGCTCCTTACCAACATCAACATACAAAGGGAAAGGTTCGTTACACTATGTCACCTATGGCTCCTTACCAACATGAACATACAAGAGAAAGGTTCAAGCTACGCTATGTCAGCTATGGCTCCTTACCAACATGAACATACAAGAGAAAGGTTTGCTTTACGCGCCATGTCAGCTATGGCTCCTTACCAACATGAACATACAAAGGGAAAGGTTCGCGTTAAGCTATGTCAGCTATGGCTCCTTACCAACATGAACATAGCAAAAGAAAGGTTAAGCGTTACGCTTATGTCAG